AAGGTGTATATTCGGGTCGATCAGGTGATGGCTCTAGGTGAGGTGATGGCTCTCGAAGTGGTGGCTGCTCATCATCCGTGCCATCAAAAAAAAGCTTACTAGCTTGCCACCAATCAGTGGCAAGCTCAGCTTCCGTGGGTGTCAGTCTCTGTAATGGAGTGTTGGTCTCCTAACAATATAAAAGCTCAAACAAAGTTAAACGTGTACTAGTAATAACTTGTTTATAAACATATTGTAGTATTTGTGTTAACTTACATTATTTATTGTAGTATACGGTAGTAAATCTTCCCATTGCTGCAAGGACCGTTTCCTCTTCCAGGAAATAGCCCTAGGAATATCATTAGAAGTTTTTAATGCATATGTCTGCATGGCGGGAAAGGCCTCAAATATCCAAATCTACAAACAATATAATAACAAACATTAGTAATTGTTAAAGAATTAATTATAATTTTGGAAACATTATATAAAAATTATTACCTTAAAGGCCCAAATAAAGCCTGACAAAGTTTATTTGGAACCATCGCCACACAAACATTTCCGATCATTAAAGGCAGATGACAAGTTATTCCATGTAGCTCTCCATAGATAAGAACCCCTCGAAAACAGGTTCCATGCATTTAGGTCCTCTACCAATTTAATTAGATCATTAGGAATAGGTTGTCGGGACTCTCTGCCTAAAAAGCCGGCTTGCAAAAGTATTATAAGGCATACTCGGACAACATCGACGTCATCCATCCGAGTAAAACCATATTTCTTATTCAATAATCTTGTTAAGTCTTCCACGTGTAAATTCGACTTCTCCGTTGACTGCTCAGGAAAAACCCAGGAAAACCATGATAGGCATGTAATATGTCTAGTGTACCGATCTACAATCATCGTGTCCAAAGCGTAGACCGGTGATTAAGCAAAACTCCTCCCGCCCAAAACACGTATACGCCGGTGGAAAATCAAACTATATCTCTTCATCACGACGTTGTATAGTCTCTGGTAGATCGCTAGTCATGGTTTGAAGAAACAGATGGGTCAACATAGCATCTCCACCCGGATGTTGTACTTTCAGCCATGGCCCGAAGCAAGTATCCTCAAATATTTTTCTTTGTGCAGGTGAAAGCTTCGACGCAATTGTTTTGGCCAGGCTTACTTTATTTCTTAAGGTCAATTGAGCCGAATAAAAGTTCTGCAAAAACAATAAACATACCAATTTAGATATACCAAAAACTACACTTTGAAGATATGAACAATAAACATAAAGAGTAGTAGTTTATTCTTCAAACTTAAATTTGTAACACTGTGAATTTAGTATTTGTTTTTGGTTGAAGTAATGCAATTCATTCAAGTTTCAATTTGCAGAAGAAGAATAGTTTCTGAAACTTTAAATCGCAACACGAAAATGAAAATCGCAACACGAAAATGACTATCGCAACACGAATTTGACTATCGCAACGCGAATTTGACTATCGCAACGTGAAATGAAAATCACATTGCGATTCTCTCGTTGCGATAGTCAAATTCGCATTGCGGTAGTCATTTTCGCGTTGCGATTCACTCGTTGCGATAGTCATTCTCGGTTTCAAATACTAAAATTGAAAGAAACTTGAATGGATTGCATTACTTCAACCAAAAGACAAAACAAAGACAAATACTAACTTCACAGGGTTAAAGACTAAACAGTTTAGCAGTATTGGCAGCAATCGAATGAATATAATAAGCATTCTAAGTGAAATGGTTAATCTATTATTGAAAACACCAGTAAACTTATCATCAATTTCAATATGAAAAACCTAATAATAATGTAAAAATTTCAAAATAAAAATAATTAAAAAAACTAACCCTCGGTGGTTGATTTGGTTGATTTTCCATTTCTGACCGTGAATGATTTCGCCGGAGATGGAGACTGTTATCGTCGTGGGAACTGATTTCGTCGGAGATGGGGATGGATGTCGCCTTAGAGAGTGAGAGATGGAGATGAGACTGAGTTGTGATTTAGGGTTTTAGGTTATGAGTTACGATTACGGGATATATTGTGGACGGTTCAGTGTTCCGATATATTAATATATTCGTGTTTGGAATTTGAAAAAAAAATACGCGTTAATACGAATGGCGCTATGTAAATCGCATTGCGATAGTCAGATTCGTATTGCGATTTACGTAATCGCATTGCGATTTTCCAAATTCGCGTTGCGATTTACGTATTCGCATTACGAATTAGGAAAATCGCAACGCGAATTTGGGAAATCGCAATGCGATAGTCAGAATCGCGTTGCGAATCTGGAAACTGATTTGCGATACCGGAGATCGCGTTGCGAATTATCGATCGCATTGCGATTTAGTTGGTCATTTTGGCAAATCCAAAAAAAGTTGGTTAAAATCGTATATATTATAAGGCATTTTTGGTCACTGAGGTTATTTTCTCTAAATTAAAAGATATAATATTAAAAAATGTATTTATCGTTTGATTAAATATTTTTTATTGGACAATTTAGTTTTAAGGATAAAGTATTTATAGTTTAATGAAAATTTTTAATAACCTAACAATCAGAATTTATCTCTAACTTGATAAATTTTACGTGTATAAAGTAATAATATGAAATATGTTACGTATATAAAGTTATGATATAACATATGTCACGTGTCAAAAATAATGATGTGATATCACTGTCACATATTTCAAAGTGATTACATTGGACATTTCATCTCATTGCTTTGGACGCATATAACTTACTATATCAACGAAAAATGTTGATTGCTAACTCAATTAATGATTTTTATTTAATTAAATATATTTTAATTTAAAATAAAATATTAAAATTAAAATCCTTTAAAATAAAAAATAATTAATTAATTTATCAAACATTAAATTTTTTTTAACATTATCCTTGTATAATAAAAATGCAATGAGAGGGTTCTTAGTCTTAACCAATCACCTGACCTAAGCCTGTTAACTTAGAACGTAACTAATCAACATCAACCAACAGTATTTTTATTGATTGTGTTTCAAGGCAGATAAGAGACGGGATACCTAAGCTTTTGAAAGTGGGAATAAAATTGGAGGGTTGTTTTTAAAGATAAAAACTTTGAAGGGCCTCCTTTTCCAATTAATGCAGAATTGGGTGGCAAAAACTGCATTTTCGTATGTAGAAAGAAAAAAGAGGCAAAGAGATGAATTGGTTTTAATTTAAAGTTGAAGTTGATAGGCTGCAAATTCAAACCTAAAGTAGGAATGGTATTAATGCAACGGCCAGAAAGAAACGCGACTGCTTTGGTGGGTGTGGTCCTTCTTCACTTATACTCTTCATCGTAATTTTGTTCAATCTATTTTAATTCTTATTTTTTAAAATAATTCAATTTTATTACCCATATAACAAATCTGCTACAAAAAATTAGTGTTCGGATACAATGAAACAACCTACTTACAAAAAGAATCAAAGATCACATTATAGCCCAATTCTTAGTAAGAGTAATATTAACATTATCATCTACATTTAAGTTCCTATTCCTTAGTGGTAATTCTATAATATCCTTAATGGCACGGAACAGTTCTTGTGCATTTTTAGATTGGCTTTGAAACAATCTCTTTTTTCTTTCATCGCACGAAACATTTGTTCTTCCTATATCCTATGACAGACTTCTTGTCGAAATCAATCTTCTCTCTTTCTGGCTTTCAGTTTATATCTCGTTCATGGGATTCTTTTTGTGTGTGGACAAGTTCTTCTTGGAAAGGAAAATCATTGCTCACTTCGATTTTAAAGATAGCTCTTAATGCTATTATATACTGTAGATTTTATTTATATTAACCTTTACATTTTATCATAATTAAACAAATTAATATAATTTTTGTATGATATTTAATTTATTTATTATCTCTAGTCTCTTAAGTCAAATATAATGATGTTTGGGCATATTTTAATCTAAAGATAATTATGAATTAAGTTGGATCAAATTTTTGGTCTACTTAAACTCGTTTCGAAAATTAAACTCTTTAATTTGCACTAGACTCAATCTCTCTATATATATATACATATATATAATTTTCATTTTTATTAAGTAAAATAAAGATTTAATTGAAAAAATAATATAGAAATGTATTAAACAATTATATTTAAATATATAATAAATAATTGTCTGTCTAGCTCAGTTGGTATAGCACAAGGCTCTTAACCTTGTGATCGTGGGATCGAGTTTCACTGAGGGCAATTCATAACGGAGGTCTTTCATGGAAGTTATTCTCAACCTGACGTTGGGGGCAACCTACTACCCTACCTCCCTCTTACCCCATTACATATGGGAATAGGGTCAACTAATTTTATTTTTTATATAATAAATAATTATAATCTTATCTCAAATGAGATTTTTTTATCCTAAATCTGATTTGACTACACCTTTAAAAACGATCCAATCAAGTCATAATTCGTCGAATTTATATCAAATACCACCTACCTATAACATTCAAAATATTCTGATCAAACTAAAATCCAGTCGGTATAAAATTAAATTTTTTGAATGCAATTCAATCCTGAAGAGGCAAATATAATTTTTTTATTGTTCTATATTCAAAATTAAAATTACCACTCGTTGTTATCTCTCGACATCACATACTTTTAGATTTTAGCTAAATTTAAAATAAAAATAAATTAATAAAAAGAGTGAAAAACATAGGTAAATATAATAAACCTGTAACATATATATTTAAAATAAATCTTAAATTTAAAGATCAAAATATTAGGGTTTAGCTCTTTTAATTTTAAAATTGTAAAGACCTAAAATGTATTTAAATTAAAAAATGACATATATATATATATATATATATATATATTTAATAATTAAAGCTTCAGCACCCATTTAAAATACATAATTATCATAATAAAAATTTACCATCTTAAATATTGATAGTAACAATTATAATTAAACAAAACACTAAAACTAAAGGTATAATAAGCGTATTAATTCATTTTAGAAAAATCGAGCAGCTTTGCTCTCGCTTCTTCTGGAAAGGAGCTGATATGGCTGCTAAGGGTGCACGAGTCAGCTGGAAACATATTTTTCTGATGAAATCGGAAGGAGGACTGGGTGTTATTGACTTAAAGGGCTGGAATAGGGCCTGTATAGGGCTTTTGATCAAAAAACTGCTGGCCAATGAAGGCTCCGTTTGGGTGGCCTGGGTTCGCTCTTATGTGATCAAGGACTTGGACTTTTGGCAGATGAGTGCCCCTGTAAACGCTAGTTGGTGTCTTAAGAAAATTCTGAAAATGAGATATGATGTGTCTCAGCTACCCTCTGGCTCTATTAATGACCTTAGCATAAGGAAATTATGGGAGGAGCTACGCACTCAGAACCCTAAGGTCCCTTGGCACAGGTTGGTTTGGTTTCCAGGGTGTATTCCCAAGCAAAAGTATCATCTTGTGGATGGCCATCCTTGATAGGCTTCCAACTCCTACCAGATTGTTGCGAATAGGATTGAGTCTTGACAATGACAAATGGCTACTTTGTGGTTATGAGCCTGAGTCCATAAGTCATCTTTTCTTCGGTTGTGCTTTTGCGAAAGATCTATGGGGCAAAATCCTCTCCTTATGTGGTATGGTTCGAAATGTGAGTACTTGGAATAGGGAGTTAGATTGGGCTATCCGTCTCCTTAAAGGAAACTCCTTCATTGTTCAAGTTGTGAAACTTGCTCTTGCAAGCCATGTACATGGCATCTGGAGAGAAAGGAATAACAGGTTGTTTGGAGGCAGAGGCAGATGTGTGGATGAGCTTCTGAATGACATCCGGGAAGACATACAGATTCGAGTTCAAGGATGGTCTAGCAACACGACTGACTCAAGAAATGTGAACCTTTGTACAAGCTGGGGTATTTCATGCTAGATCTTCTTACTCCTTGCTTTCCTTCTTGCTGGCAAACTATGTTATTATTGTTTATGTAATGTACTTTTGTAGCAGGTTTTCCTACTTTCTTGGGTAATGGAAATGGAATTATCCAAAAAAAAAAAATGTTCTTCAGTAATAATTTTGCCTTGACAGTCAATTATCAATGTGAGCCATTAATATAAACTAATGTAATTACTATTTACCGTGTCTCCGTTGCAAAAATAAGTGTTTATCGTGCAGACATTTGGTTTAATGACATCTTAATGTCATTAATTTCGGGTAAGTAAATAATATTCGTTGACTATCAAATTAATAAATGAAAAAGAAAAAAGGTTAATAAAGTGGATTACTTAAAGACTTAATATTAAAAATCATTAATATTTGATTAAATAATTTATATTTCGACTCATGATTATCAATGAAATTTTATTCAAATACTCGTAAATTGAATATATATGTTTTCAGATAACGAGTATTCGATTTTTTTTCTTCAAATTATATCTTTTAAAAAATCATATAAAAATATATAATTTTAAAGTAATTGGGGTAAAATAATTTGAGAATCGAGAATAAAAAATCTAATAAAAAAAAGAAAGAGACCTTGTCGTTGAGTACCCATGAAGTCGAGTATTGTAGAATATAGCCCGATTCCTAAACCCATGAAATCAACGAAGTATCTAATCCAATTTTTTAAAAAAAATACTAGATTATTTTAATCCAGATTGAAATAATTTTAAACACCCTACTTAAAGATGTATCACTAATTATGGAATAATAACGCCATACATGTAATTACGACTTTAATCTTAGGTACTTATTTTCCCTAAGAGGTTTGATTGTTCCTCGTAATTATTAAACTTGATTTTTTCTTCAATTTTAACCATATTTTAATATGTTATAATTACTACACATAATGGAGAAAATATTAATAAATGTTTGGTGACCTAAGCTAAAGTGATAGATAGGATGTTGCGTCCAGAAGGAACCTGAATCACATGGGAGAGAGAAAATCCTGGTAGCAACGAAAACGTTTTGGAAGCCAACTTCAACATCCCATTGAGACGGACTCGTTCTTTGTAATGTAGGTATTTTTCCTTTTCATTTCATTTTTGTTCATTATATGAAGCCAAGTTGTCTTCCCCATGCAATCTTGTTTCTTTTTTCCTTATTCGTTATCTTTATATCACGAAAATACTAAATTGTAGATGTACAAAAATTATAAAAAAACGAACAAAAGGCTCCAGCTTTCTGGCAGTAGACATATAGCAATGCAATTGCAATTTATGTTAGCTGTAAGGTCTGATTGTAAATTGACAACATATATAGATTGTCATTAACTTGATGCCTGCTTCACTGTTGTTTGACTATTCACCATGGAAGTGTTATCCAAGGACTTGGGGTTACTAGATTGAATATTTTTATAATAGGGGATGGTATATATATGGCCACGATCTACTTACATGGTGCAATTTTTTTACACGTTTTTTAGATCATCAGATGAATAAAAATAGACAATTAAGATTAATAGTAAAAAATGAAAAAATATTTAATGAAAAAAATAAAGAGAAAAAATAATCTATTTTTACTTATTTAATTATCTTAAAATTAGAAAATAAGAAAATAAGAAAGGGTAATGCTACAAGTTTCAATCTTTGAAAAGTAAAAACTCAGGCCCCAATGAGAAAATGAATGTCCTATGGCTATGGGAAGAAGTCAAGTGGAAAAAGCCAATTCCCCAAAAAGTTTGAAGTCAGATCTCATATTCAGTGGTTTGAAAAGATTGAACCAACCTAGTATTTGAAAAAAGCAGAATGGCCAAATATGAGCTGAAAAAGGTAAAATGGGGGAACCCACATGAAGCTGCAGGTTGAAGAAAACAGAGGGAAAAGTGGATGAAATTAAATGCATAATAATGACCCCATCATTAGATTAATTGCTTCACCGCTCCAACAAATTACATAATTAGTAATAAATAATTCAGTATCAGATTGCCAGGTCTTTTGATTTTAAGACTTTGATCCAACATTAATTGGGAAAACTTTTGTTGAAGAATCGAACCGAGGTCGCAAGTATTCATGTGAGCTTAGCTACCGTTTGACAACTAAGGCTCAGCAGCTTTTTTAAGCCATGGGCCTGGACCATAAGTTCTAGACTTGTTCCCCACCTCTAATAGGAAAATCAATTTCTTGTATTTTCCCCCTTACCTTCCCCTACGTTATTTCTCTGCTATCATTCCTTCATCTGTTGAATTTTGGACTTATCGGAACATTTAGAAAAAAAATCAAAGTTTTATATCATTCGATCAGTTATAGTCTTTTGACATATTATTAGTGGACATCCATTAACTAAACCTATTATCTTTCAATTAGGTCTACTTATTTTGTTAACTTATAAATAATAATCATTATTTTATGTTTAACATTAACAGTAAGGGTCTATATTAAATCATAATGTAAGACTAAGGTTAGGAATTGACCGTCAAAAATCATAGCTTTGTTTTTTCCATGGATAAAAATGAATATGGATTTGAATAATATGAGAGGGTTCTCAGTCTTAACCAATCACCTGACCTAAGCCTGTTAACTTAGCATGTTACTAATCAACGTCAATCAACAGTATTTTTATTTATTGTGTTTCAAGGCAGATAAGAGACGGGATACCTAAGCTTTTGAAAGTGGGAATAAAATTGGAGGGTTGTTTTTAAAACTAAAAACTTTGAAGGGCCTCATTTTCCAATTAATGCAGAATTGGGGGGCAAAAACTGCATTTTCGTATGTAGAAAGAAAAAAGAGGCAAAGTGATGAATTGGTTTTAATGTAAAGTTGAAGTTGATTGGCTGCGAATTCAATCCTAAAGTAGGAATGGTATTAATGCAACGGCCAAAAAGAAGACGGGACTGCTTTGGTAGGTGTGGTCCTTCTTCACTTGTACTCTTCGTCGTAATTTTGTTCAATCTATTTTAATTCTTATTTTTTAAAATAATATGGACTTTATTTTCATAAAGTACTTAACTTTTTAGTAGATTAATAGATTTAAATTTGGAATTAAATTCGACATGAATTTATTTGGGTCCAGATTTAGTCTGAATCGAATCAAAGTGAATGATGACAAATAAATTTACGAATATTGTTTTTTTTACATGAAAATTAACTCGAAATAGTGTCACTGAGAATAAAAAAAAATTATGATTAAAATCACTAATATTATGACTTTTGACATGAAATTTAGTTTGAGAATGTAAGTAAATCGGAGCCGGAGAAAATGTCACGATTTATAGAGAACTTATGTATTTTTAAAACTTTGAATTAGAAGCAGCTCAAAGGTACTAACAATGTGGTATTGGAGACAATGGACCCTGTAGGAATGTGAAGGAGAATTGGGGATATATGGATGTGGGGGGGGGGTTAGGGCTGTATTCTCTTCATAATTTAATTTTTTTCGATATATTATACTTAAAAGATAATCAAATTTTAATTACAAACAAAATTTTCTTATAATTTATTTTTTCAGCAAGAGAATTAAACCACAAATATTTCAAGTCATGTCAAACAAAATTTGAATTACAAACCTAATAAATAAATAAAAATATACATGAAGATTTAAAATAACATAATCGGTCGTTGCTTAGTTATTCAATGTTGCCAAAATTTATTGGGACCATATGGAAATTGCACGAAGATTGAAATGAGTAAAACGCAATTTGTTGCATATTTGTGGAACTAATTTGTAAAATTTTAATATTTGTGGGACCATATGGAAATTGCACGAAGATTGAAATGAGTAAAATACCTAATGTTAAAAATCCTTAATATTTGATTAAATAATTTATATTTTGACTCATGATTATCAATGAAATTTTATTCAAATACTCGTAAATTAAATAAATATGTTTTCAGATAACTGAGTATTCGGTTTTTTTCTTCAAATTATATCTTTTAAAAAATCATATGAAAAAATATACAAGTTAAAAGTAATTGGAGAAATACATTTAAATTTAGAACGTAAAATAAAAAATAATTTAGAAAGATAGGATAAAATAGTTTGAAAAACTAGAGATTTATAATATTGGGTAAAATAATTTGAGAATCGAGAATAATCCATTTTTTAAAAAAAAAATACTAGATTATTTTAATCCAGATTGAAATAATTTTAAACACCCTACTTAAAGATGTATCATTAATTATGGAATAATAACGCCATACATGTAATCACGACTTTAATCTTAGGTACTTATTTTCCCTAAGAGGTTTGATTGTTCCTCGTAATTATTAAACTTGTTTTTTCTTCAATTTTAACCATATTTTAATATGTTATAATTACTACACATAATGGAGAAAATATTAATAAATGTTTGGTGACCTAAGCTAAAGTGATATAATGTATTGTTTTATAAGCTAATAATTAGATAATAAAACTTATAGATATTATATTAAATATTATTATATTTTACATATTATAATAATCTTATTAACTTTACAGATAATCTTATATTTTACAAACTAAATTTCCATTAAACCCAAATCATCAGCGTTAAAAACTGCTAAATTTTATGGAAATTCACAAGGATTCTTTTTCTCTTCATCAAGGTGAGAGCAAAATCAATGCGAACTGAAAAATTACAACATTTGTCTTTGTTTGTTTGGATTTATCCATAAATTTAGGGTTTTTACGGATCCCCATGCATTGAAATTACATGGAAAGTGGAAAATAGAAAGCTGTGTACCTTGTCGATGTAAAAGACAACAAGGTTTAAAACAGGCTAGAAAGGAAAAAGTAGAATTTCTTACATTTTACTGTCGATCTCAGTGTTGGAAAGGGAGAAGAAGAGGTGAAATGATCACGTGCAACATCTTTAATATATGATTAAAAAATATATAATAATTTTGTTATTGTTTAAATAAAAAAATCAATAAAAAATACCAGAAATATTAATAAGCGTTAAAAAATGACTAATTTTATTATTTTTGGACGTTTTAACCAGATTTTTAAAAAAAATACCAGAAACATTATAGGTGCTAAAAAATGTCCGAAAATATTATTAGATGCTAAAAAATAATAAAAAATAATTATTTAGGTAAAAATAATAATATTATAGATAATTTTTACCGGTTTTAACATTATCATTGTATAATAAAAATGCAATGAGAGGGTTTTTAGTCTTAACCAATCACCTGACCTAAGCCTGTTAACTTAAATCATCTCCAGCCCTCATCTCTACTCTACAACATCTCTATCTCTACTATAATGATGAAACAATAATTTATCTCCAGCACTATCTCTACATTACCACCAACACTACTTTATTCAAAATATTTAATTATTATAATATTGATTTTGTAAATATAAAATAAAACATATACATTTTTAATAAATATCAAAATAAAAAGCATAAATAAAATATTCATAAATAACATTATGAAAATACAAATAAATAAAAAAATTACGATTCATAATAATAATACGAAAAAAATATAAGTTGCATAGTTATATATTTTAATTCTCTAAATTAAAATATTCATTCTACAAATTAACAAACAAAGAAAATAACAAAAAAAATCAAAAATCAGACTCTACTCTAGAGATTAATTACAGTATTACGCTATATGTAGAGTATTACTGTAACATCTCTACATTTCAGACTCTACTCTAATGATTAACTGAAGCTAAAATTTATCTCTAAAATATAAATTTTCTCTACTTTAGAGATGCATTCGAGATGCCCTAAGAGATGAATTGGGGGGGCAAAAACTGCATTTTCGTATGTAGAAAGAAAAAAGAGGCAAAGTGATGACTTGGTTTTAATGTAAAGTTGAAGTTGATTGGCTGCAAATTCAAACCTAAAGTAGGAATGGTATTAATGCAACGGCCAAAAAGAAGACGGGACTGCTTTGGTAGGCGTGGTCCTTCTTCACTTATACTCTTCGTCGTATTTTTGTTCAATTTAGTGTTTTGAAATTTGGATCGGATCGGTCAATTCAATCAGATTAATCGGGAATCATTGTCTTGTCCGGATCAATCGAAAATCGATGTATAGTCTGGTTCAATCTACATCGGTTAAACCGTTATTAGTGAATTGGTCAGAATCGTTGAACTGTTTGAATCGGACCGACTGAAAATTGGAAAAAACTATCAATTTTGTTTTTTTTTTAAAAAATAAACCAAACGATGTTGTTTGTTAAACGAGCCAAGTCAAACTCGAGTATTGCTGAGCTCGACTCGAACTTGAAAATTTTAAAAGTAAGCTCAACTCGACTCAAACTCACGAGCTAAAAATTATCAAGTTCAACTCGAACTCGAAATATAATATTGAAACTTGAACTCGAAAAGGATTGAACTCAAAAAAATTTAGAAGCTCGATTGAAGCCTAAAATTCGAGCTTGATTGAAGTGAAAAAATAGTTCACTCAATGCTCACCAAAAGATTCTATGATTTTGAATGCCAAATTACATTTATTATTTATAGAAGTTAGTTGTGATGCTCTTCTATGTTTCTTAGCCACATGAGATTGTTTTGTTTTTATATTTTTACTCTTTAGACTTTTGGGATGCTCTTCTATGTTTCTTAGCCATGTGAGATTATTTAAAAAAATTAAACCAAACATATCATTTTGTTATGATTTTTTTAGCCACAATTTTTTTTAATTATAGTTATATAATTATATTTATTATTTAATATGTTTTACCTTAAATATTATGTTGTAGTTAATTTGAATAATTTTGTTTCACTTGATTTTATGGTTTTTAACTTATATATGTTATGACTTGCTTTGAATATGAGTTGTGATATCAAAAATTATTTTTATTAAATATTTTTGGTATTTTATTTAATTTTTAAATAATTATGACGTCGTCCGATTCTTCCGACCGATCGGACCGGTTCAACCGGTTGAACCAGTGAACCGGTAGCATGACCGGTTTACTAACCGGTCCGGTTCTGAAAACCATGGTTCAATCTATTTTAATTCTTATTTTTAAAATAACATGGACTTTATTTTCATAAAGTACTTAACTTTTTAGTAGATTAATAGATTTAAATTTGACATGAATTTATTTAGGTCCAAATTAAGTCTGAATCGATACAAAGTGAATGATGACAAATAAATTTACGAATATTGTGTTTTTACATGAAAATTAACTCGAAATAGTGTCACTGAGAATAATAATTTTTTATGATTAAAATCACAAATATTATGACTTTTGACATTAAATTTAGTTTGAGAATGTAAGTATATATAATTCTGATCGGAGTCGAAGAAAATGTCACGATTTGTAGAGAACTTATGTATTTCTAAAACTTCGAATTAGAAGTAGCTCAAAGAGACTAACAATGTCACTATTTTATGCTTGAAAGATAATCAAATTTGAATTACAAACAAAATTTTCTTATAATTTATTTTTTTCAGCAAGAGAATTAAACCACAAATATTTCAAGTCATGTAAAACAAATTTGAATTACAAACCTAATAAATAAATAAAAATATAAATGAAGATTTAAAGTAACATAATCATTCGTTGCTTAGTTATTCAATGGTGCCAATATTTATTGGGACCATATGGATATTGCACGAAGATTGAAATGAGTAAAATGCAATTTGTTGCATATTTGTGGAACTAATTCGTGAAATTTTCATATTGATTTGAGCATAGAAAGAGTAGATAAGGCAGAGCTTTCAGTGGTGGGGGCATTATGTAGATAATTGATTATAGCAGGGCATTCAAAGCCACTCTTTAATTCCAATATTTATCTTAACTCAATTTTTTTGTACAGTTGGCACACTTTTATTGTCCACATGTGTGCAATTAAATCCAACGCCACACAAACCCTATATCATATATACAGTAGAAGAGAGAGAGGGATAGAGAACGAAGAGCTAAGCTGTAATAAACAGAGTTTTTTTTTTGCTTGCCTTATTTCTCTTTCTTTCTCTCCATTAAAAGTAGAAGAGAGGGAGTTTGAGACATTTGGAGCTTCTTTGTTCATCCTTTTGTCTCCTCTAACCTCTCTTTGGTGTGTGAAATGAATCAAATCGGTCAAATGGGGGTGTAAATTTGTAGAGAGAAAAAGGAAAGAGAGTAGAAAATAAAATCAAAGGTGTGTGCTTTATATATTATAGAACATAAATATTTGATGAGTTTTGGAGGGTTTCTTGATAACAGCTATGGTGAAGGCTTTGGGGGTGCAAGAATAGTTGCAGACATCCCTTACAGCAACAACAACATGTCCGCCGGTGTCGTTGCTCAACCTCGGCTCATGTCTCCTTCTCTTCCTAAGAACATATTCAAATCCCCAGGCCTATCTCTTGCTCTTGTAAATGAGAACAAGCTCTCCCTTTAATGACCTTTTGTTCCTTTTTTTTTTCTGTGTTGGGATTGATCTGGGTTATTTGATGTTCTTTTCAGCAGCAACCAAATATAGATAATCAAGGGGATCATGGGACCAGAATAATGCGAGAGAATTTCGAGGTAAGTGTAAGAAGAAGAAGCATAGAAGAGGAAAATGAGATCAGCAGATCTGGAAGTGATAACATGGATGGAGCTTCGGGTGATGATCAAGACGCTGCCGACAAGCCTCCGAGGAAGAAGAGATACCACCGACACACTCTTCAGCAAATCCAAGAGCTCGAAGCGTATGATTTCATGTCTCAAACCAATTTTTTATTTCACCTTACCAACATTTTTTCCCACCATTTTTCTTGGTTTTTGGTTCAGTCTCTTCAAGGAGTGTCCTCATCCCGATGAGAAACAGAGATTGGAGCTTAGCAGAAGGCTTTGTTTGGAAACCAGACAGGTTAAGTTTTGGTTCCAAAACCGCCGTACTCAAATGAAGGTACGTTTTCTAAAGAATCTTTCTTTCGGGGGATCTGATTGTTTATGTAAAGTTAAAAACGTGATCTTCTTTTTATCTAGACTCAATTGGAACGCCATGAAAACTCTTTGCTCAGGCAAGAGAACGATAAGCTTCGAGCTGAGAACATGTCTATAAGGGATACTATGAGGAACCCCATTTGTACCAACTGTGGGGATCCGGCGATTATTGGTGATATATCACTCGAAGAACAACATCTAAGGGTCGAGAATGCTCGTTTAAAGGACGAGTTAGATCGAGTTTGTGCACTGGCCGACAAGTTTCTGGGGCGGCCCATTTCGACACTAGCCGCTTCCATCGCACCTCCATTGTCGGACTCGAGTTTGGAACTCGGGGTCGGTAACACTGGTTTCGGGGGATTAAGCACCGTGGCTACAACATTGCCTGCTTTTGGAAGTGGGATGACAAATGCTTTGCCTGCAGTGGTTCCTCCTAATAGACCAACGACTGCGGTGACTGGTATTGATAGATCGGTGGAAAGATCAATGCTTTTGGAGCTCGCTTTGGCTGCAATGGATGAATTGGTTAGGATGGCACGGACTGGTGAACCACTTTGGGTTAGGAGCTTGGAAGGTGGAAGGGAAATACTAAACCAAGATGAGTACTTGAGGACTTTCACTCCTTGCATTGGCATGAAATCAAATGGCTTTGTGACCGAGGCCTCTCGAGAGTCTGGGGTGGTGATTATCAACAGTTTGGCCCTTGTTGAAACTTTGATGGATTCGGTGAGCTTCAATTTGGTCATTTCATCTATTCATCTTATTTCTTTTTCTAGAGGTTTGTGCCATTGGAATTAACTTTCAATTTCGCTTTTCCCCCTTCTTTTACATAGAATCTTTGGTCGGAGATGTTTCCTTGTATGATTGCTAGAACATCAACAACTGATGTTATATCTAGTGGTGTGGGAGGAACCAAAAACGGTGCACTTCAACTGGTAAGTTAATTTCAAGCCACAATCAATCATCATTAGTGTCATAATTCCTTGTTTTAATCTTTTCTTCCTTTGGTACAGATGCACGCTGAGCTCCAAGTCCTTTCTCCATTGGTTCCGGTTCGAGAGGTCAATTTTTTAAGGTTCTGCAAGCAGCATGCCGATGGGGTTTGGGCGGTTATCGATGTGTCTATTGACACGATCCAAGAAACTTCGGGTGCACCCTCGTATGTGAACTGCAAGAGGCTACCCTCTGGCTTTGTCGTACAAGATATGCCCAATGGATACTCCAAGGTAAAGATCTGCATTTTTGAAGCCTCGAGTTTAGGGCTCATGCAGCTAAAGAATCTTGTTGTTTAATTTGTCAGTGCCTGGTTTTGCTTCAAACCAACGCATTTTGAACCTTCCTAACGCACACTTGGAACATTCATTTATTGATTTTGATGCTTCTTCTAAATGTTAAAAACTATCAATCTCAAGTTTCAACATATAAAATAAAATATATTATTGAATAAACTATTGATTTGATGTTTCTATTCCAATATATTGATTATGCCTCGATTATCTCATCTAGCCAGCTGCATTTAAGGCATGAAACTGCGAATGACCTGGTTACAGCCCCAGCTGATGTGCTTATTTTCTTTTGCTTGTATGTGAGGATCCCATTCTTTTAAATAGATTATCTTCTCCATTATTCAACCCTTTTCAATCTTCAATGCCTCGATACAAGGGAACAAAGTCACAATGAGAGAGAGATGCCATTTCTTTCATTGAGCTCTATCTTTTGAGTCATTTCCAAGATTTGCCTCGCATTTTTCTATTGGAAAAAATCAGTATTATTTGTCAACAATGATATTATACAAAAGTTCACTAGAGTAGTATTAGTCATTTTTTATTTAAAATAAATATTTCCAATGATTGTTAGTGTAATCGGTCAAAATTTATGCACAGGTGACATGGGTTGAACATGCGGAATATGACGACAGCCAAGTTCACCAACTTTACCGCCCTTTGCTGAGCTCAGGCATGGCGTTTGGCGCCCGGCGTTGGGTGGCAACCCTTCAACGCCAATGCGAATGCCTTGCTATTCTCATGTCCTCCACTGTTCCCACCAGAGATCACACAGGTAAGCAATATATATATCATTGTATCGAATAATGGTCAGTGGATTAATGAATATGTTTTGTAGGTATAACTGCTAGTGGGAGACGAAGCATGTTGAAGCTAGCACAGCGTATGACGGACAATTTCTGTGCTGGAGTGTGTGCCTCCACGGTTCATAAATGGAACAAGCTGAACGTAGGGAACGTGGATGAAGACGTAAGGGTTATGACACGGAAGAGCGTCGATGATCCGGGTGAGCCATCGGGCATTGTGCTGAGCGCGGCTACTTCGACTTGGTTGCCGGTGTCGCCTCAAAGACTGTTTGATTTCATACGCGATGAACGGCTGAGAAGCGAGTGGGATATCTTATCTAACGGTGGTACGATGCAAGAGATGGCTCACATCGCCAAAGGCCAAGATCACGGCAACTGCGTCTCCCTCCTCCGTGCAAGTGTATAATTCTTAACACCGGTTCCTCTATATAAATTAAAATTAAAAATAAATAAAAATAGTCCGGTGAGGAAGATGGCAGTACATAATAATTTAGTGACGAAAATGACAATTTGATACGACAAGTCTGGAAATTTGGAAGTATCTATGGAGACAATTTAGGGTGAAAAAGAATTCGTGAAATGTTACTGTAAGGTATTCTGATTTATAAAACTTTTAAAAAAGTCAGTGTATAGAACGCCTGTAGCCTTTTTTCACCTTTCGTTTTTTAGTGTCGTATGATCCAATGTTTTTTCTTTCTTTTTGGGTGCAGGCCATGAACACAAACCAGAGCAGCATGCTGATATTGCAGGAGACATGCATCGATGCGGCAGGGTCGCTTGTGGTATACGCGCCCGTTGACATCCCAGCCATGCACGTGGTTATGAACGGTGGTGATTCGGCTTATGTAGCTCTCTTGCCCTCGGGTTTTGCTATCGTACCGGATGGTCCAGGCTCTCGTGGTGGACCCACCTCAAAGGAAAATGCTAATGGGAACGGTGGCGGATCTCAGAGAGTGGGCGGGTCACTTCTCACGGTGGCATTCCAAATACTGGTAAACAATTTACCGACGGCCAAGCTCACGGTGGAATCGGTGGAGACGGTGAATAATCTGATTTCATGCACCGTCCAGAAGATTAAAGCTGCGCTTCAATGCGAAAGCTGAGTGGCACACGTAATCCTTTCTTCAGTAATTGTTTAGGGTTTCTTTAAACAAACAAGTGTGCTTGTGTATTTAGTCAATTTTTTAGGGTTGGATGGTTTGGGGAGAGCTTTTGTCGTTTTGCGTTTGTCTGTGTGAAACTCGGTGAGTTGGAGGGTGTTGAGTCAAGAACGAACCGTGCGTGGAAAGACTCCTTGTATGGGTGGTGTTCAGCATAGCCTAATGCAAGGGTGGTGGTTCGGGTATTGACTTAGGTCGACCCTTCAACTCAAAAAAAAGGAAGTCAAAACCCTAGATTAAGGATATCTTAAAGAAACAGCTCCTTGTTAATTCAATATCTTTTCCTGGGGTTAGCTTGTGGAAACTTATTTTTTTTATCTCTGTTTATCGAAATAAACCAAGTATTTTCCCTTCCGTCTCCAGAACCTTATTTCACGGCGGCCGAGCCCGAGCAAGTAAAACTAACGCGCCGGTGATAACTCTTTAAATTTATCAGAAATGAAAGAAAAAAATAAAGGTTTAAAATATGAAAGAAAATTATACGATTTTATCTAAAATGAATGAGTGCAGTGCGTGTCAAATACACATAATTATACGAGTACAAACTCTAGTTGAATTGCGCGACGACGGGAATGCATGTGAATTAGTTCATATTATTTAGATATATAGGTTTTCAGGTGTTTAAATATGATATTTTAAGCATTTATTTATGGAATGATTAAACATAATGTTAATATACATGCGTTATCGTTACACAACTCCACTTGTGTTAGTTCTAGTACTCGTGTAATTATGTGTTCATGTCACACCCCATATACTGGTTATTTTTTTGGACAATATTCACATACTTTTTTTTTATATTTGACTACTCTTATATTCTTTCATTTTTAGTCCAATCTGACCGAAATTAGTAAAAAGTGCTTCTTGCAAAACGTGCGCTCTACGCTTGCCACATGAGAGTGCTAATTCGAGAATTAATCATCAATGCGTGATATTTTGGTAATTAATTATTTTTAGTGATGTGGATAAAATTACCTTTAAATTATTGTTTATGTTTAGTTACAATTATTTTTATAGTATTTTTTAAAAAAAGTTTTGTAAAACATTTATTTAAAATTATTTGATAGAATTTTTTTAAAATATATTAGGTTAAAAAACAATTCATTTATACACGCATGTGACTAGAATTTTTATTTATTTTTAATAAAAAATAAATCAATTATTAACGATGAAATTAAATAATGGGCTAGGTTGCCATTAATACAAATTAAATGCTAAAATAATGGGCTAGGTTGCCATTATACACTTATTGTTTTGTTTAGAGGAAACGGTTTAAAATTTGAAATTCTAAACAAATAACTTAATTTAATTCAAGATTAAAAAACGATAAAAATAAGTGTAATTGAAAACGTGAAAAAATATATTATATTTTAGGTTAAACGTAATCTAAAACGTGATATTCTTTATAATATTTTTTATTACAACTTAAAATATTAATAAGAATATCACTTTTTCGATTGTCAATTGAAAATATTACGAAGAATATAATAATTTAAGTTACAACCCAAAATATTATGAAAAAATTCATATTTTAAGTTGTGTTAAATATAAAATATTATATTTTTATCAAATTTTAAATCATATTTATTTCCATTTGTAATTTAGCCGCATCTTAACCCGCCATTATTTAGGTGACATTTAAATTGCAAGGTACAGTTAAAATTCTATAAATTAATAATGTCAGGACCAGAGAAATTTATTAATTTAGAGAGTTATTAATTTATCGATAAATTAATAATTATTAATTTAAAGAGTTTTTAAGTAATTATACTGTATATACCAAACAAAAAGGCAACTTAGTATATGCCTCTTAGAATTACGTTGCAAGAGATGAGTTAAATTAATAATGAGCTCCAAATAGATTTAAACTTTAAAGGAAAACAGACAACTATTGAATCATATTTCAATATAGTGTAATATATTTTTTTCAGTTTCTATGAATTATTAATTTATGATTTTCTTAGGACCGAAAATTATAAAGGGATCTCACGAAAAATTATTATCTTATTATTTTATCGAGTTTTTCAATTTTTTACATTGACTCAAGTCGGGACCGGACAAATTTATTATTTTAGAGAATTTATTAATTTATTGAATATTAATTTAAAGAATTTCTACTGTAGTTTACGAGGAAGGAATGATGAAAGATAAGCTATTCCCTGTTCACCTTCTGGTTTAATACTTCCAGTTGATAATGGCTATAAATAATATACTTTATTGCTTGGACTTGAACCAGTACCACGTGTAAGATTCGTTGTTCGCCAATTTATATTTTTTATTTTATAAAACCAAGTGATACCACGTAATCTAAACTCTCTCTTTTGCATTTGTCCGACACCAATCAACGATATGGTATATTACATATTTAATCACATATTTAATTTATTACTGACATGTAAATTTTTGTTTTATTAATGATAACATGATATTATCTTTTGATAATATATTAGTATTACCTTTAAGTTTTACCCCTTTAAAATGATATATAATGTTACGTTTTGGTTATCCGAGGTTAAAAGGATCCTGGTTGTCTGTTTTTGCATTTACTGTATAATGCCATTGAATCGAGCCTTGATTCAGTTTATTCATCAATGGTCAAGGCTAGCAACAATTGATGAATACGTTCATTATTTTTTTACAGGAATTACAAAGTAACATAATTTTTTCTCGATTATTGGTACATGATGGCAGCAAAAGTATATTTATTTGGCAAAACAAGCACAAAGAAATAAAAGTGTTACAGGGGGTACACATTACCAGCAGAGCCACAAATGACAAATGTGTCCGATTTGGAAACTTCATAGCTTGGCAATGGGTGAATTATAGAAGGTAGCATGGCAACTATTGACCAGTTCCCCAGTCTTCCTCATTTTGAATTCAACCAAAGTTACAGTTAAATTTCTTCCACTTCTAACCACAGATCCTTCAACAATCAACTCTGCCTGCATGACCAAAACATACATTATATGAATTCGGTAAGCTCCTACAATGACCGAATCTATATACGATTATTATTCGTTTTTCTTCAAGTATCCATGCTTGACATTTATATTCGCTACATATTCAGACATACGTAGCGGTATGTCTGAATGTCCGATATGCCTGTTCTGAGTTTCAATAACACAGCTTAGCAGGGATGAGCAGAAGGGGCAGGTAAAAGCGGTCGCACTATGAAAATTTCAAATTAACATATAATTTAAGTATTTTGTATGGAAAAATTATTTTTACCTCTAAAAATTTTATTTGTCACCTTCTAAATTTTATAAGTTCACCCCTAACATAAAATTTAGGTCTATATAGGTTAGGGTTGTTCGAATGAGGAATCGTTTATACATCCTAGAGTTCATAGCCTCATTCAAGCATCAAATTGGGAGGCACGGTAGGGTTATTTTTTTCTTCAATAAAATTACAATTGGGGTTAACCAAAATCAGATATCAGAAATTCAAATCCCAAAGAACTCACATCTATGGCAGCAGAAGAGAGATAAGACATGGCCAATTCACCAAGAAACATGTCCTTATCCTCACCCACCACTGTTTTGGCCGTCGCAATCGCCACTCTTTCTGCTATTGCTGCAACTGCCGATCCATGTAACATACCATAAAAATTCTGCAAAGCAAACCCCCAATAAAGTAAAAAAAAAATCGTGTAATAAGTCTGATTAAATGGGGAAAATATCCGAAAGAATTACGGAGATGGTGGGCTTGACGGTGGTGAAGCAGGTGACGTGGCCTCGTCGGACGGTGTGGACCTTGAGGCCGTTACATAAGAGATCGGAATAGAAGTCTTCTGAACTATAGTTTTCTGCTATGGGATTTTTGGAAAGCCCGACGCTTTCTAGGAAACGCATAACGATAGGCCTGAACGGCGGAGATCTCTCATCGGATTCCAGCGTTGTGGGACGACCGGAAGAAGAAGCTGCTGGAGGTTCCTGAGAAGCAGATGAGGGATTTCCCATAATTGTGCCTCCGTTGACGAGCAACCACTTGAAGCAGATTAAGTTTTTTTTTAATATTTTCTGATAATATGAATTAACTTTTAATAAAATAATGGAAACAAATTTTGAAGCGAAAAATAATGAAAACAAATGATTTCATATTATTTGTATTGATAATATATAATTTTATACATCATCATTAAATCAAATTAGTATATAATTGAAAAAAGTTAAATAATTTCTTAAAATTTATTTTTAATAATATATCATTATTTAATTAATTAATGACGTATAAAATTATATTAATAATATTAAATAATTATTTATAAATAAAGTTAAATTTATTTAATCAACGGATTTTTCTCAATTTCGATATTTTATTTTATGTTTTGAAGTGTTTTCCTATTTTAAAATTTATACTAAATTACTTATTTAGTCACATATTTATTTTTATGATTTTATTTTGATCATATAATTATTTTTTTTTAAATTATATACTAATATGTTTAGTTTTGCTTTGTCATTCATCGTTATAAAAATTAATGATCATGTAAATGTGACATCATAAGATAATGTCAATTCAATATTGAAAAAATAAAAAAAATGTCACATCGATAGTTTTATTTATTTTTTTAACAATAAATGATCAAAATAGAACAAAAGTATAACATTATACATAATTATAAAAAATAGTTAGTTACTAAAATAAAATCACAAAAATAGATATCTTTAATTGAAATATTGTAAACACTTTTTGATTTTATATTTGGGGTAAATACAATGTAATATATACAATGTAATATATGTTCAAACACTATCAATTATTTGAAATTGAACGCTTATACTGTAATATCCCTAACCCATATCCGACCCAAATACGAGTCTGAGATGTCACATTGACTTTTCAAACGGTTTCTTGTCATAAAATAGCAAAAGTTTTCAATTTCACGTTTAATTCGAACTGTATAAATATATTAATTAAAAACATTTGGTTTTACAAAGTCT